GCGCATATAACTCATTCGGGTTATATGATTTGTTATGTGTGGGATTTGTGATGCTTTCGCACATGGCTCAAATATGAGTCATGGGACATGCGCCTGACGAGTATGCCTTACGAGTGTGCCTTGCGGGTAAGCCTTGCACATATGATTTACGTTTCGCAAATGACCTCATTATGAGGTCATGGGTTTCACGCATATGACTCAGTCGAGTCATATAACTTGTTTATTGAGTTATGATTGGTTTATGAGTTTCACACATGACCTCACTATAAGGTCATGGGTTTTGAGCATGTGATCACTTTGGTCACATGACTAGTTTGTTTTGATTTGGTTTTGCACATGTGACCACTTTAGGTCACATGATTAAAGTCGGGAAGAACACTATATAAGGAGGCTGAAGCGGCCGAGGAAGATAGGTTCTTCACGCTTTGTTCTAAGTACTTTTCCTACTTATTACTTTAACAAATATAAAACACCTTTACGATGGTTATCTTTATTGCAACGTTATCGTTACGCCAAGGAAGGCACCTTACGAAGAAGAGTTAGAGAAAGCTTACGATAGGCATTTCCGATAGAAGACAAGGGTCTTGTACTATCGGTAACGTAGGCAGAGGCCTAAAGCTATCGTAAGACAAAGAAAGAAGAGGACAGGAAGAGAAGTATGGTTCCCCATCGCCAAGCACTAACTATCTGAGAAGGGATCGTTACACCAACCCACAAAGATTACTAATACCAAAAGAAGAGCAGTAGAGGCTATTATCGATACCGAGCCTCATTTAGTGCTATGCAAAATTACCTAAAAAGTAAATATTAATCTTGGCAAGACTACTATTGACAAAATCATTTCAGAAACTGGTTTTAAGCTTCTGATACTGAGGAAAAAGCATTTTTTAAAGGAAAGGACAGAAGGAGAAGAGAAAGGAATTTGATAGGAAAAGGAGGAACTGAGAGGAGTATGGAATTGAGTAGTTTTTGTTGATAAAGCTACTATCATCTATAATTCAAATCCTGTTGGGAGAAAGGTCAGAATAAGAGCTGGTGAAGAGCTGGATGAAAAAAACTTGAAGCCTAACTTTAAGTCAGGAAGGACTAGTATTAGTATCTATCCTGCAATAATGAAGGGTAGGAGGTCTGAGTTAATTCTTGTAAGAAAGAGGAGGGAGGAGGAAAGGACTAGTAAAAGAGATAGACTTGGCCTCAATTCCTACCAATATGCAACTGTGATCCACCAGCCATACCTTATTCCTTTTATAGAAAGTCTGAATAGACCTTCTGACAACATCTACCTAGTTGCAGACAATGCTTCCTGGCATGGTGGTGAGGAAAATCAAAAATTGCAGGCAGACTGTGGTTACAAAGAACTCACTTAGCCACCCAACTCTCCAGATCTCAATCCTATTGAGAATACCTAGGCACTACTCAAAAGAACCCTCAGAAAACAATTCTCCAGATGGGAAAGAAGGCCCCATAGTGCTGCTGAATTATTTCAGGCAGCAGAGGAGTAGTGGGATTTGATTCCCTACGAGACATTGGATACTTGGATAGAAAGAATGCCTGAGAGAATTCAGGCTGTTTTGGATGTAGATGGAGGTCATACAAAATGGTAATTGGATTTCTTTGAACCTTAGGTCATGTACTTTCATCTATTCCTTAATTGGCTTTGTATCTTGATTTTTTGTATGGTTGAATTCATTAAGTGTTGTGGTTGTGGTTGCCGGGCAGGGGTATAATTATTAAACGGACACAACTGTGTATCATTGTAAGCCAAGCCGGCTTCTGCTAAGCATATGTTAACTTTCCACCATGTACAAGGTTATGTGCTTTATTAACCGGGGCAGACAAGGATGTATTTGGCTGGTTAACCTCAAATAACTGTTCAATAACTTCTTGCCGGACTCTGTATCTCTCTATTTTTCCTCTTCTGGTTATCATACCTTAAAGGTCGAGAAAACCTTTCGGATACCATGGAAAACAGGGGGGGTACCATTATATTACCATTCTTGGCAAAAACATACTATCACAAGGTTTTACATTACAACAATCAACGAAATATTTACTCTAGCCTTAGTTCCCTCACTCTTTTTACCCTTCAAACTATCCAAAAATATTGTGAAAAATCCCATAAAAAATCAAGAACTACTTGAGACCCACTAATATTTTTCAGAATTTTCTCTAGCAATTTTTTTGGATTCTTGGCAGAAAAGATCACCAGGAACATACCATGTTTAAGCGAGGTCAGACTAATGTGATTCTGAGCGAAGGTTTCACTTTTTCGACGGTAAATTATATTTCTCGGTCAATGGTAACCGGAAGGATTTTTCGCCAAGAGCATGGTATTGAAAAGGTTCACCCTCTTCCTACCGGTTGACCTCTCTCTGCTATTATAGGCCTTAAGCTTGCCTTTTTACGCCGTAGCTAAAGCCTAAAAGTCTGGTATCGAGGCTTCGCTGAAGTCTTAATTTTGTTTATCCCCATGTTTTTTGGCGTCTTGTAGGTTACAATATGCGAAGCAGATGTATCTCATTTTTACCACCATTTGTGCTCTTGGCTTTGTATATTTTCCACTTTTATATATATATATAAAGGGAACACCCACAAGTACAGTACATCACTATCATACAAATCACAAAAAAGATAAACCACCACTCTGTTTCGTTTACGGTATTGAATGGGGGGGATATATCCTCCTTCCTCGCTCTTTTTGCTTTTAAAGCCTCTATCGATTCTATCGCTCGTTCTTTGGCGTGGGTCTGGAGGCCGTCTCTATTATTGTATTCCTTCCTCCCTCCTGCCTCTCTGCTCTGGAAGCCCTCCAGCAATTTTCTGATTTCTGCCATGACTACCGGCAGTAGGGTATGGTGATTCATCTCCATGCTGCCAGTTCAACAGCTCTTATCCCAGATACACTTGAGGAATAATTCCCTAGAACGTCACTGCAGTCACTTGATTTAATAGTCCTGTCTGACAACTTTCCCCACAATCTTCATCTCTTTTGGGTGATACCTAGTTGAAAGCGGTGGCCGTTGTTGTGCTTCCGAGGTAGCTTCCTACCAGAAATACTCGTACAATACGAACGAAGGCGGAGGGAGTAAGGAAAGAAAGGAAGGAGAGGAAGGGGAAAAAAAACATAAGTGAAAGAGGATAGAGATAGGATCTCGGTAATATTTTGGTTTCCATTTGGTCCTTTCCCTCCCTCCCTCGTCCCCCGTGACAGTCTTCTTGTCTTGCCAAATGACGCCGCTCTGACCATCTCTTCATCGTCCTCTAACATTTCCCTTTCTTTAGCTATACATACCCTTTTTCTCTTTGACATCTGCGTGTGGAAGGGAAAGGGAAAGGGGAAGGGGGAAAAAAGAATAATAAAAAAAAACTTCGGTATCGAGGTTTTCGTCTGTCGGCCAAACTCCCCAGATATTCAGCAGCCAGCCAGTCCAGTGCGTCATCATCAATCAGTACCCTCTTTGGGTCTTTTGTCCTTCCTTCTCCGCTTGGTATTTTCCATACAAAGTACGCGGGTGCCCACTTCTCCTCACTGCCTCCTGGTGGTGCTGGTGTTGTCTGGGCGAAACCCCCCTTCGGTCAGAATCGCTCACTCACTTCCCACTACGCTTCGCTTCCATCGCCATTATCTCACCCAGCAACAAACCCCTCCCTACTACCTACCAAAACGGTTTCTATATCCTCTTCCTTCCCCTCTAACCGGCCCTCCTACCTTCGCCCTCTCCTCTAGCGCCAAACAAAAAGCCATCACTTCGCCAAACCCGTCGTCGCGTGCCTTTGCTTGCCTGCAGGACGCACGACTGGCAGCAGTCACTCAATCTATTCCTCCCTTCCCTCCTCCGTGCCGCAGAATTCGCATCACCCTTCCTCTTGTCAATATTACATAACCTCCTGCGCCAGCACTCGGCAACATCACGTCTTCTCCCATCATGGATCTTGACTTTGTGTTAAACCCCGGTACGCCGCAGTCATCGTCTGCACCATCAGCTCGGCTTCCTCCGCAGAATCGTAATTCTAACCATTCTCACCCTCGACCAGCGCCTCCGCCCTTACAATCTCCACAAACTTCCTTCCATCCTGGAGCGTATTCGCATCCCCAATCGCAACCTCGCTCACCTTATCATCCTTCTCCAACCTCAGCTACTCGGCAGTTCCCCCCCCCTCCACCACCCTCTCCACACGCGCAACAACAGCATCATCATCGCCAGCAACAAGGTTATGGTCAATCGCCATCGACTCCTCACCCGCTGAGTGCAGCTTCTAGACATAGTGCTACACCAACAAGCTCTGTGTCTACATCCTCTCAAAATCACTTTCCTCCTCCAGGCCAGCATCCTCAATACGCCCACTCTCAGCATCAGCAACAGCAAATACCACAACCACATCAGCAGCACCAACAGCACCAACAGCATCATAACCAAATACAACCTCCACCATCACCTCACCATTATCATTCCCCCCATCAGCAGCACCCGCATCCCCATTCAGGGTTCCCACGTCAATCTCCTCTGGCTTCGCCAATTGGGGGGAGGCCTCCTCTGGCGCATCCGTTAAGTAACAGTGCCACAGAAAGATCTACACCAACGATTACACCACCAGTACCTAGAGATCAACGGGATAAAGAAAGGGAAAGGGAGAGGGAGAGGGCCCGGGAGAATAGGGAGAGAGTGGAAAGGGAAAGAATCGAGAGAGAGAGGAGCGAAAGGGCTGAGAGGGAAAGGGAACAATGGGAAAGGGAACAGCGAGATAGGGATGGTGAAAGAGAGCGAGAGCGAGAGAGAAGAGAGAGGGAGATAGACATAAGTGTTAGTCCAAAGACGAAACTGCCTCCCTATTTGCCAGCGGAAGATCCTACGCCGGATAGTGGTGCTGCGCCAAAGGAGGAATTTGGGTATGTAGGATCAAGGCCTAATTCGCAGCATCTTCCTGACGGGCATAGCGGTTGTGCGAGGCGTGATTCCTCGGTTGTGACGACCCCGAGTCAAGAGCGGAGAAGTGTCGACATGATGGACCTGGACGGGGGATCAGGCGTAACCCCAGGACCTGTTTTGGGCCCTGGACAAAAATGGGGAAGCCCCGTTATGGAACGAGCGAAACCTAATGGTACTATAAGCGTCGATAGCAGGGATAGCCAAGGTTCACACCACCTGGCACCACAACAACAACAACCACAACCTACTCAACTGCCATCCACTTCCAACAGCAATAGCAATCTTTCCCAGCAACCTTCCTCCCAACCTTCTTCGGGCGCGTCTTCGCAAAGAACATCGACCGTTTCTCCTAGCAACAAAGAGCAGCCTCATCCACCACCCTCTACATTAACTCCCCAGACGAAAAAGTCGACCCCGACCCCTACGAATATCAGCCCTCGGCATCCCCCGCCCCAGCCGTCATCGAGTCCAAAGGGTGCGCATCAGTTGGGTCCACCGCCCACGCCATCTCAGAATCAAGCGATCGTGGAGGGAGGTACCAGCAGTAGTCCCGGGTCGTCCGGGCCTCCCAAGAAAAGAGCTCGAAGAGATGAGGCTCCGATCTGGGCGAGAAAAGCTAGTCGGAGTTCTAGTAGTAGCCCCGTATTGGCGAATAGGAGACAACCAAGCAGCGCAAACCAGCACCAACCTCCTCTGCAACAGCAGCCGCCGCCGCTTCCGCCACCGCCTCCACAACAGCACCAGAAACCTCCTCCGGCAAGCGGATTTACCCCCCGTTTTGTTCCGTGCTTTGGGGCCTGGGAGCCTTCCATATGCAACACGGAACCTTATGAAGAGTTGACAAGGGAGGTTGCGAACTTCTTGTTCAACCAAGTTGTGTGTCAAAACGATCCAGCACTCACTTCGTCAGGGGGAGATGGTCCAGTTGTCATGATTGAGATTGAAGCCAAGATTGGTCATTTGATTGACAAGGAACGAGGCGAGAGATTGAAACTTCCGGTCGTCACGGAAACAGTACTGAATGTTGATGAACCAGGATGGAAAATCCAATTCAAGAGTAGCATGACTGAGGTAATATTATTATTCATTTATTTGTTTTCATCCACTCCTACACGTGGTGCAGTTTTATATTTGCATTTTGTTGCTGTCTAGGGATTGCTACGGGGACTGACTGCATCGTAGGCACAACACAAGCGCCTCAACTTATTCCTCAACCTACAATTCAGCGAATCCAAAGGACTCCCTCCCCCCGGCATGCCCCCATCCCCATCATCCGAGCACCCGAATGAGAATTCCCGACCGCCTGCAGGGCCCCAGCGTATCCCAATGGACTACGTGCACACCCGTGAGAGGGATACCTTTTTCGAGCTCCCGCCGGACAAGTTTCAAGCACTCCCCAATATCCTGCGCTCATATATGCGACACAAACCCAAAGTACGTGTGACAATTGACCAGAAGACCGGAAAGGTTATCAACAAGATTATCAAGACAAGAATCGCAGATCTCAACGTCTATTCACCAAAGACCGCATTTGATTGGCGGGTTAGCGCGAATATCGAAATGCCATACCCGGGCGACATCGATGGGTTACAGCCTTCAAGTGATAGGGGCGGCGGAGACAGGAACAAGGATAGGCTAAGCTACCGGCATTTAGCCTACCAAATCGATCTCACTCAAGTTACGGATGTAAGTTTTGTATTCTCTAATTATGTGTTGTAATGTTTGCTAACAAGACGTTAGAATACTGCGAGGAAGGAACACGAGCTTGAGGTTGAAGTGTCTGGGCAGGAAATCATAAGACACGGAAACCTTGCAAGGGAGAAAAAGCCGAATGCTTACGAGTATCTGGTTCGTGGGTTCGTGGATAACGTCCGAGTTCTCATCAGGGCTATTGAGCCGTAATGCCGTTGATAGATCGGAAAGGATAATCATATTGGCGGATTACTTTTTCTCTCTCTTTTGTCCCTCATTCCACGGCTTCAAGCTTCTCGGGGAGCTTTCACTGTACACAATTTTTTTTGTTCACCTTCTCCTTACTTTCATTCTTCCCCCCGCTGCTTGCTCGGAGTGACCCATGGGGTCCCTTTCTTTATACTCGCTAGTGCAAATTTGCCTGTTTTTTTTCATTTCTCTTTTCACAACCGCTTGTATTGTACTATTCTGGTGACATTTCTTTGGTGTACACTGCCTTTTTCTATCTCTCCGTTCCTGCTCCGATAATTTCCTTTTCCAAACACGAAAAAAGCCAAAAAGTTCTCAATTGCTGCGGTTTAAGGGAAGGATATTGTTAGCATTATGATATCCTCAAGTTTTTCCTTTTCTTCCGTTTTTCTTTTCTCCTTTCGTCATACCTCTTTCATACTATTCTTTTCCATTTCCTTGTTCCTGATCGTGTCTATAACTAAGTAGGGCGGTGGAATTCTGATTTCCGTGATATAGTCGCTGCCCCCCCCCATTTTTCTATATGATAGGTATACACAGCGCATTTTTTTCTCCTGGGCCCGCGAAAAAGCCCATTGCCTATGTACACCCCCTCCCCTTCTGAACATAATCTCAACCCATCACTCATGCTCCTCCTCTTCAGCCCCTCCAACAATACTCTCCCAAACCCCCCTCCAGAGTCCTTCCTTATGCACCATAGCCAGCCCCATAACGACCGGCAAATGCCAAACACTCGCCCAGAACAACCTCTTAGCATTGCCCCCTTCGCCACCCTTACTGTAAAACGCCCAGGCCTCCCGCACCAGCCATCCATTCACAGCACTACTGTCCACCAAAAACCCCACGTCTGTAACGCCGGTAGCCCACAGTCCGAAGCAGATGGGGAAGAGCAATAGAGAGTAGCGTAAGGCCACGCGGGCGTTGAGGGCAGGGTACTTCCAGACCATCATCTGGTATCCCACTCGCCTGTACTCGTCTCTGATTCCCCAGGATAGGGAATTAAAGTGCGGGAACTGCCAGGCGAAGAGGAGGCCAGCCAGCAGCCAGCCCCCAGAATGCGACAGTGTAGAAGACCATGTCGAGTCCACACCCTGAACGTTCCCAGCCGCCGCGGCCCATCCCATCAACGGTGGAATTCCACCGACAATCGCTCCAACCCACGTATTTACCACGGAAATTCGCTTGAGCGGGGTATACACGCCGGCGTACAGCACGATATTGATCCCTCCGAGGGCGGCGACGGCGGGGTTCACGCCGAGGTACAAGCTGCCAACGCCTAGCAAGCCCGTGGCGGCGGCGAATACGAGCGCTTGTCGCGGGGTGAGCAGTCCGCGGACTAGTGGCCGGTTGCGCGTGCGGGACATTTGCCGGTCGTAGGTGGGTTCAAGGTACATATTGAATGCGTTCGCGCTGGAGGAGCTGAGTGCCGTGCCGACAGTCAGGAATGTAAGCGTTAGCGCAGAAAGGGTTGGGACGTCGGAAAGGAGCGGGTCAACGGGGAAGAGGGCGTATGGCGCCATGGCTGATAACACGATGAGCGCTGTTAGACGAGGTTTTGTTAGCGCAAGGTAGGAGTACAAAGCTCGTTTCCAGGAACTGGTCTGCTGAGAGGATGTGGTGGATAGTAATGACGATGCGTCTGGCGGAAGCTGCATTGCTGTGACTGCAGTGGACTGATTGGCACCTGCTGTGGTGGTGTGGGGAGAGAGAACCCCCTCGCAGAGTTTCTGCTGCCGCTGGCGCCGGCGGTGGGGTAGCAGGGCCGGTTCTCTCATCGGCGTTGTTGACCCGTCTCGCGTATGCGTGTGCTTGCCGCTGTCACCGGCATCTGCTCGTAGGTAGCCGTTTGAAAAGAAGTATTGGGAATGCCATTTTGGTCGGCTCCGCGGGAGGAGCGAGGGGACGTGTAGGGAGACGGCATCGAGTGACCGGAGTGGGTGGAGTGTTGATGAGAATGGTCGGCGGGTGTAAGTTGTTAATCTCCGTAGACAGTGGGAGCAAATTGTTGGTGGGGGTAATACTTGGGGGAGGAGAAGAAGCATTGCATTGCTGGCTGAGGAGTTGCGATTGGTGAGGGGGCGGGGAAGAGCCAAGGGGGAGGCTACTGCATTTGGGGAGTACATTCTGGTGGTGGGGGGAATTACATCAGGATCTGATTAGACAACATCTGATATTATTACAAGTGTCATACCAGTAAGGATTGCCCAAATTAAATTTACGTCACGCGAGGATAGCATTTAAAGACGCGACTTCCTTTCTGCTTTGTTGAACCCGCGTTGCGGGCTGATTCGCCTTTCGTTACTTGTAAGAGATCACGGATCCGAAGAAATTATGGAAGAGCCGATTGAAAGAAAGTCTAAATATACCTACAGGCACCTTGGCCAGCTTTTGAGATATTCTGTTGATACGCCGTTGAGGGTTATTGCTCATATGTTCGCTTCTTCTTTGTCTTCCTGCTGGTACACTCTACTGGGGCAGTTTGGCTAATCCTTGTCGGGTAGTGATCTCGATGCATTCTATGTGGGTTATACTGCTGATTACACCGAGAGACCTACTAAACTCGAGATCGTAGGCGCAGTGTGAAATGAAGAGACTCGGAACAGACGAAAATACCCCACTTGCAGTCCAGCAATGGCAGAGTAAGCAATCATCCCCCTCGCTATTTTAACCACGACTAATATACCTACCTCATAGGTCTAATCGCTGTAAACTACCCAGCAAGAGAATTCAATGTCAGCCGTCACGTATGAATGCCTCACCTAACCTCACTCCCATATACCCAAACTTACGTTTACAAACCCAGTCGACAGCTGTCGACGCCCTAAAGGTCTGCCCGCAACTCAAACTCGTGCACGTAGCAACCTGGCGCTCCGGCGACGAACACTGGGGTTACCGTGAGAACCCGGACATCGTCACCTGTAAGGCATGCCTGGACCCATACCGTATCGAGTCGAAGAAGATCATGTCCATATTTCGCGCTGCATGTCTGCGGGTCGAGAAGGCTTCTATCGATGAGTCGTTCTTGGACCTGTCTGTAATGGTGCACGAGCGGTTGTTGAAGCGGTTTCCCGTGCTCATACTCCCGCCGCCGCACAATGATCCTGCGGAGAAGTTGCCGTTGCCGCCGGAGGGTCTGGAGATTAAGTGGGCCAGGTCGCACCTTTTGGAGTTGGCAGAGGACTGTGACGAGCAGCTGGATTGGGATGATGTTGGGATGGGGGTTGCGGCGGAAATTGTCGAAGAGGTTAGGACGAGTGTGAGAAAGGAGTTGGGATACACATGCTCTGCCGGGATTGCACAGAATAAGCTGTTGGCAAAACTAGGGAGTGGGTATAAAAAGCCGAATCAGCAGGTACATACTTGAGTATGAGTGGCGCCCTTAGTGAATAGGCAATTTCTCGTGCTGACGATCCAGACTATTGTTAGAATTAGGGCTGCACAGCGGTTTTTGAACACCTTCAAGTTTACCAAACGTATGAAATTGTGTATGGAATCAACGCTACCATTTATGCTGATTTGGAGGGAGTACGTAGTCAGGAACCTAGGGGGCAAATTAGGAGAGAGGATCTCTGAAGAATTCGGGACCGAAGAGCTCTCCTCTCTCCTGGACACTCCTCTACAAGCATTGCAACTCAAACTAAATGATGACACCGCTACCTGGGTCTACAACATAATCCGTGGGATCGACAAGTCGGAAGTCAACCCCCGAACCCTCATCAAATCCATGCTCTCCGCAAAGTCGTTTAGACCATACATTACTACTGCCGATGCGGGGTCTAAATGGCTCACCATCTTCATTTCCGACATATATTCCCGAATGGAAGAGGAAGGGGTTATGGAGGGTAAACGAAGACCGAAGACTATGACACTAAATTATCGAAGTTCGGGCGGTGCAGGTAAAGGCCGTTCAGTTTCTATACGGGAAGTGACAAAACCAGCCCTAACAGCAGTGGCACAAGATCTGTTGAAGGGTGTTGTGGATGATACCAGGGCTTGGCCGTGCGCTATGCTTAGTTTAGCCGTCTCAGGGTTCGAAGAACGCGAGGTAGGAAACCTAGGAATTAGGAGATTTCTGGTTAGCGGTGACGCAGCGAAAGACAGAAATTCCCCCAAGTCTGAACTTAGTGGTGTTGTAGAGCGAGAGCCAAAAAGAAGGAGGGTAGCTGAGGATACTGGGCGATTCTTCACGAAGGAGCTAGCGACCCACAGCGAGACTCCAAACCCGGAAGACACGCTTCCAGAAGATGCTATCTTGGATCCCGAAACAGAGGAGGCTCTCGATAACCCGCCGTCATTTCCACTACCTGTAGCAGCGACTCCGAGGGATCGCCCGATGTTTTTGTGCGACCGCTGCAAGACCTCCCTTCCCTTCGAAGACCAGGAGGAGCACCAAGACTGGCATTTTGCAAAAGACCTCGCGCGAGAGGACCGAACGGAGGTCATGAAACGGATTGTTTCGCCTGCACCACCGAGCTCTTCTAGGAAGCCCAGGAAAGGCAGTGGGAGTGGGAATGGTAAGAAGGGCGGTGGTGGGTCGGAGAAAGGGCAGAGGAAGTTGATTTTCCGGAAGTGATTTCATGGCGTATCACTCGGCATAATGGGTGGGGGTTTGTGTTGAATTTCTGCTTAATGTCTTCCATTGTTCTCAACAACGGCTTTGTCTAAAGCGTTTTCTTTCTATATCGCTCTATGCTATTGGGAAGTATCATTTGTGGTGGTGAGACATGGTCTATTGGGTATTGGGCGGCTATTTCGTATTGGCTAGCCTTCATTGCGCTCTCCAGGCTTGGAGGCGTATACTTTGTTGGGACTCATGATGCGTTTGGGCTGAAGGCAGGAAACCAGTTACTTCCCATGAAGTATGAGGTCACTTTTGTTCTCTATATATGTTCGGTCCTTTGGTCCTTTCTTTGGTTGATAAGTAAGAATGACACCGCGAGTTGAAGTCGTGCAAAGTCTCTACCGTTTCGCTTCGCATATTGGTGCATATTTCAACAGTTTGGTATTTGGAAATGGAATGCTTGGGACCCGTGGTGGATAGAAGTGGTAGAGCTGCATTCCTTGGGGCTTGGGCTTTTTTTCCTGGGTATGATAACTGATAGATCTATTCTCAGTATGAGTTGTTGGTTTAACCGTGGTAGGATTGTGACCCAGTGATTGGTTTTATCATAATCCATCGCGTGGCATCCCGAAGTGTACTTAGGGTGTGCGCAAAAGTCTGTCGAACTTTCCATTTATAGACTTCAAATCATTTATTTGTTACTAACAGAAGGTACCGCCGACTTGGCATGCCACCCCCCCACAGCATTATGTCCAAGTGGCAAGCCAACACCCCACCTCGGCCTCGACCACAGCACCTCTGGTTCGGTACCAACCAATGAATCCGTAGCAGGATACCAGTACAGTGCCAGACAACCAAAATCGCCACCGGAAGAACACGAAAACCGACCCTCCTCGCATATATGATAGCAACACAACAGGTCAGATATTGCTTAATCCTTCTATAAATCTTTAGATATGTAGCTTTTAAAGAGATATACAGAAGGATTTAATGGGAAACAAGAAATTGAAGGCTAGAACTTGTTTTGAAGATAGAGACATTTGTGTGGAGACAGGGAGAATTAACCGACGATAATTGTACAAATGTTGTCAAGAATTGACATACGAGTGATATTTCATGATTGCTGGACATGAGACATATGAATTATGAGACAAAAGAATCACGACTGGGGATAATTTAAAGGGGTATTGGTGCAGAATCTTCCATTCCTGATCAACAGTTAACAGAGATATCACGATGTTGTCAAGCAACAAGGGCAAAGTACAACTAGCAGTAGCTTAGAAGTTGAAACAGGTATGTAGTATTAATTTCGATAAATAGCTTATGGTGGATCTTTCCTTTGATCCTTAAGTGCTAAACTCGATTGATTTCTTTGGTCAATACTCGGAGGCCGAAAGCAGGAGTGGTTCGGAGAGTGATATGACTTTAATATCAAGTGAAAATGAGGAGAACCAAGTAGGGGTGGATTTAAATGAAAAAATGAAATGGAAAAGCGATACGGATAGGGGTTTAAGAGGGGGATATGTTGCAGGGTCTTGATCAGCAATATAGAATCAGCAGGAGAGACTAAAAAATATGGACAAGGAGGTGAAAGAGACGTATAATATTGAAGAACTATGGAAGTGGCAAAGAGATATAGGTAATTAAAGTCCACCTACATTCTCTGGGGGTGTCTACTCTCACAGCTAGAATATTAGTAAAATTAATAATAACAGAATTTCAGCAATGCAGTTGGACAAGATACAAATGAAGCTATTTGATGTATCTGCAAGGGGGGTGGAAATGACAAGCAAGAGGGAAACGGACTGGAATGAGAGAACCGATACCTTGAATAAGCTAGAATGCTTACTACAAAGAAAGAGTGATCAGGTAGTACAATTTGGGAATGGTGGCCTAAAGGGTCACTTACTAAAGAGATATGAGACGTACATGCATTTTGACTAGCACAAAAAAAAACACCAGATAGGAATCGCAAGGCAGTAGCTCTTGGTATTGTGTACACCTTCAGAAGAGGTGAGTATACTGCACGATGAATTATTAAGTGGGAGCGAGCATAGATAGTGAGTACTACAATTCCAGCTGCTGAAAGCTATGGGAATAATAGACAAAAGAGATAAGCTTTAGAATTACTCTTTTGTGATAAGAGGTTGTAATTGGCAATTTGGGACCATATATCAAGTGTTAAGAATGGTAAGCTATTGAAATTAATAGGGTGTCTGAGAAACTAGCAAGTCTCAGGCTGTTTATATAGTTGATAGCTATAAAGAAAAAAGTTATGATTGAGCTGATTTGAATGTCTTTGATTAGGAATTACTTCACAGAAGTTAGCAAAGTTTGTACAGGAGCATATTAGAAACTGTGCTCCTCAGGCCTCAATCGATATATCCTATTCAGATGCCTATACGGAGGAAAGCACACAGATGCTGATGCCTATCCAGCCTAGTAATAGTACACCAGATAGAGCATACTCAACAATACCTTATCTTGGCTCTATTTTTTTGGTTACTCTGATTCAAAATGACCATCCAGATGAAATACTACTATGGCACCGCGGTGTATTAGCTAGGACTATACAGTGCTGGTTAAGAAAACCTGGCATTAACTGGTGAGATATTAAATAGAGTGTGTATACTAATAGTCATGAAAGGGAAAATGTATGCTACTACTTGAAGTAGTTTATAGAGTGGCTGGAGTTCTACTGTCCTGGGGTGGTAGAATTCAATAAAGATAGATCAATTATGGATAAAAACTACCCTGCTGGCATAATAGTAAATTCCATGAATCCTGATATGCTTTCACTAATTTTAATTATGCATGACGAGTCAATTTTTCAATCGAATGATTGCAACCAGTAGGCTAGGATACATAAGAGCCACCACTTTATTTGCCCAAAAGGAAGAGGTCAAGGGATAATGGTATCTGATTTCTTACTTCAATGCTCTTACTTGACTGCCTCCTCAATTTCACTAGCAATGTGGACAGAGCTAGCCTTCCAGAACATGCTAGTATTCTCTTTGAGTATGGAAGAGAGGCAGGACATTAGGAGCGTAAAGATTTAGTAGAACAATTAACTAAAATTGCTATTCCAATAGCAGAAGCAGTCTATCCCGGCTATCAGTTTTATTTTTGTTCAATAACTCTTCTAATCATGGTCTATTCATGCAAGATGCCTTAAGGGCACAAAACCTCAATCTCATACTGGGAGGTGAGCAAGCATTCTTAATAAATGGCTACTACATAAATCAGAATGGCATGAAAACAAGTCAAACTATGTGGGATCCTAAGGCTATAGATGGAACATTGGAGACATTAGAGAGTTATTCAGCAATGGGGGTTACTGGCAACTTGGAAGAAATTAAGGGGGGAGCATCAGGACTAGAGGGATATAGTAGACAAAGTGAGAGAATATCTACCTAAAATAGCTAGGCTGGGTTGATATTGGATGGTTCCAGGCAAGGAAATATAGGGCTAGCAATATTTGTACCTCTGGAAAGGGTATAAAAAGGCCTACAACAAGTGCTAGAGAAGAGGGGTCTTTGGCCAGTAGCTGGACTACGTCTTGAGTGCCCGAAGAATCTTTGTGAAAAGTGCTCGGCTGTGAAAAACTACCGTCTCTGTGTCAGGAGGAATAAATGCCCAGAATACAAGAAAAGATTTGCTCTGGTCCTTGCTCCCGGAGGAGAAAGTACGATGAGTGCAAGTATCGCCGTACTTGCCAAGAGTTTACAACTTGAGAGCATTGTACTCGTTGCACTGAATATGGAAGCTGCAGGCACTGTGTTACTTGTTCAAATATGCCTACTTAGTGTATCTCTAAAGGTACTCTACCTCCTTACCTAAACCATTCAAATGTTGAATCTACTTTTTGCTCATTTACTACAAAACCTGTAGAGTGCTGTGCACTGCAGCTTTTAAGAAACCAGCCTGACTTTCAAGCCCAGGTTGGTATGCTTATAGAAGTAATTCATGGCCAGAGTCATCGGGTTAACTTTGGTTGACTTTTATCCACTATTTCATTATGAGTTAAATTAGATAGAGTACCACGAGGGTATGGTCAAGTGCTATACACGAGATAATTACAAATACTCGAACAATGCAGCTCTTGCTTCCATTCTAAATTCTCCAATACATGCCTTTTACCACAAGTCTTTAAGATGTCTACAGACCTATCAGGACAATATTGATTTTGCTACTCTGGAGTACTCTCAGTATTTGAAATTTTACAAGTCCTATAAGTGAACATATGTTTTCTTACTGATAATATGCAATAGTTACTTTATTTGCTCTGTTTTTATTTAGATTTTCTTTCTTTCTTCATTTTTCTTGTGTCTTCTATTCTCTCTTCGTTTATTTTTAGGCTTTTATGCAGTTGGTATGTACCGGATATGCGATTTATATCATGAATATAACCACTATAATCTCCTAACTCTTGAGCGGTGTAAAACAGTAAAATTCACAGCTAAACACACAGATACTATTATAAGAAATACTATACCATAATAGAATAGGCTAAAAAGTAGAGAAGCAATATCAGGCATTCAATAATGATACAAAAGTTTAACCAAGTCTGGCGATTAACACAATGCCACAATTGAAGCAATTCTGAACAACTTTGTCTACAATTTCAACTAACCATACTATTTGAAAAAAATCAACCCATATGAGAACATGTATGCCAAAGCTCTGACAATCTGGAGTGGTCTTGATCAGTCAACTACCATATACTTCTCTCAGTCCACCTCAAGATCACCTAGATCAGCTGCTATTGCCATGGGAGAATGCCTCTGTAGATGTGGATATAGTACGAATATTCGAGTTGTTTTGGGATAACGAGGTAATTGATGTGGCTGTTGAGGGAGCTAACCGGTATCCAGATGCAAAAGGTGCCGGGAAATGGTCTGCAGATGGAAGCGTCTTTGGTCGTCCATAGAAGAAGGTAATTGGAGGTAAAATTAAGAACTTTATAGCTATTTTAATATATATGGGAGCAAAGGGAGGAAGTGTGATTGGGCCAGGGAGCTTTTGGAATCGAAGAGAAAATACAAGATCAATCTTTTGAGCATTATCATTTAAGCACTTTAGTCAAATTAAAAGATATCTTCATATATCGGATCCACAGCTACAACTTACTCACTCTGAGTGGTTTCAGAAACTAGAGCTTCTAAATACAATGATTCCATCCTGGTGTCAGCAGTACTACCTACAAGCATCAAATGTAACAATTGAGGAAATGATAATTCGGTTTGGTGGTCATAGCCATTATATATACTGTATGTCTAGTAAGCCAATTACTAAAGACTATAAGGTGTTTGCACTATGCAATACTGGATATACCTATAGTTTGATTTTTGCCTCCCAGCTAAATTCCTTTGTTGGACTTGTTCTTCA